TTTTCCGCTGAACAACGATGATAGCGTTTTGTGGCTTGGCTGTGCCACTTTCAGCACGCCTCCAAAGGGGATGTCGTTGGCGGCATCTATGGATTCTGTCTTTGGAGGCATGCCGAATCTGAACTTGGAGGTTTTTGGGGGATTTCGGAGGCGATTCGGAGGCGATTCGTTTGACATATCCTGAAAGTTTGTTTAAACTTTTGGCCAAGGAATCAACGAACCACTGAGTTTTGAGGAAATCAACCACCCTGGGTTCAAGTCAACCTTGGGAGAACAACAACATAGAACCCTGCGGGAGGGTGAGGCGGGGGTGGGGGCCAACCAACCGCAAGTAACCTCGACGGTTGGGTTGGAGTGCAGGCTTTGGTTTTTGTTTTGGGGGGGTACGTAATGCTCAACAAACGTCACCTCCGTTGTCCAGCCTCATTTCAGATCAGAAATGAGACTGGGATCATGATTTTGACGGTTTGTGGGGGTTATCAAAGTCAGAAAATGGGGTTGTTTCCCTTTAACCCACCACTTAGGGGGTGACTTTGATCATGGTAGAATAATGAGGCCAGTGAGATTGTGGAAGGTTTGCATTGCCTCGGCTGAATCGGAATGGGGGACTAATAGGGGGCATGGAATTTTGGCCACCCACTCCTGTGAAAGTGTTGGCTTTGTCAATGCTCCGGCAGAAGTCCTTCTATCAGAAGTCATGTTCCAGAGGACAAGTGAGCAATCAATCCCAGGTAGTAGTTAGGGGACAATCCCAACCATAAAACATGGTGCGGCTGGATGATTTTGGGTAGACCGCTTTACTATGGTTCTAGGGGTACCTTCCTCATTCTTTTCAGGGATCATTTTTTCTAGAAAACCTCCGGACACCCAGGGAAAATGGATCCGGTTTTTGGAAAGAACGATGCTTGAAAATAATGGACAAGGAATCACCCCCTGGAATCTTTGAGGCTCTCAACTGACTCACTGTGTACCAGTTCTGATTTTCCATTCTAGGTTCCCCTAGAATGCTAGGTCTTCCAGTAGTGCCCTTTTACCCTTTTTTTGGGGAGGGTTCCGCTACTAAAATAGACTACCGGAAAAAGGGTACCCTTATTCTGACCTCTCTACTGGGACCTAGAATGGTACCAGGTCTTGATTTGTGACTCGAGGCGATGGCTTCGGCACCGGCGTCGAGTGGTCGATATGCCAGGATGACCGGCGCAGCATCCACAGCCAGCTGGCGCGATTGGAGGAGGGGGCAAGAGCAACACATGGGTGTGGTTGTCAAAAATAGGGTTTCCCCCAAATGGGTTGCCCTGGTAAGTGGAAACATGGACCAAAACCTGCGGTCCCTGGAGGTTTAATTTTGACCCATACCCACATGACAGGTCTGTCTCTTTTTGTTGGGGGATTCCCGAAATGGTCCCCCTTTCTGGCAGTTTCGGAAAACGGGTAGCTTCCAAAAGGAGAGAGACAAAACCGCCGGCCAGGCTAATACGGGGAACACCCGTGTCTTATCTTATTTTGGACACGCGCATGAAGGAATCTCTGACTTGACACATTTTCTTTGCATTCTGCTTCGCCATGGCATTCCCGAGCCTGCTTTGGCTCAAACAGTTGATTCCTGGCGTTTGAACATCCAGAAGCCGCCAATGATGCCTCCGCCAAATGTCAGCTACTCCAAGGCCGCTTTCAATCCGGGGAGTTGCGCTGCCTTTGGCAAGCATGCAGTGCAAAGTGGTATGCACTTTCAAAGGACGGCAGATGGGTTGATGCCGACCTATGCCCATGGCCTTCCGCTCATGCAGCCTGCTGTTCGCGAGGTTGCACCTTTGACCGACGGGCCGCTCCCCACGCTTCTGGCTTCCGTGAGGCCCAAGTTGAGCGCGGAGTCTTGCGGAGAAGGCTCGCTGGAGGAAGAAGTCGACGAAGGCCAAGGCAGCTTGGAGTACACATTCTGGGGCGTCGATTTCAAGCCTATCTTGCCCGCAGCCCTGGCATCGTCAACGGTTGTTGGAGCTTTATGCATGATGACTGTGCAAGTTCCGATTCTCAGCCAGATCACATTGGTGCCGCAAGCTGCGCTTTTGGCAGGCTTTGCTGTAGTCTATGTTGTGACGCTGGGGTGCATGACGCACTGCGCTTTTGCGGATCCCGGGCAAGTCAAGCGCACGCGGAACGCGCAGCTCGAAATGGACCTTGAGCAAGGAATGCCGAGACGCGCGCACAAGTCGTGGCAGTATCCCAGGCCCATCCGTCGCTACGACCACTACTGCAAGTGGCTCAAAAACACCATAGGTCTGCTAAACCACCGGGAGTTTGTGACGATGCTCGCTGGCCTTATTCTGATCGCTTTCCTCGGAGTCCTGATTGATGCGTTCCTCATTGCCAAGGTGAAATTCTTGGAGACCGAGGTCATCGTTGCGTTGCATTTAGCCTATTCGATTGCTTTGCTGACCATCGAGGGGCCCATGCTGAGCATACATGTGGGCCTAATTTGCAGGAACGAGACTGCGCAGGAGTGGAAGAAGAAGCAGAACTGGGTGGCGAACAATACTAGCCTTGGTGACAATGTGCCGGTGGAAGAGTTGGATGATGATGAGTACAACAGCTTGTTTGACAACGATGCCTTTGTGTATGATCAGGCCAGCAATCCATTTGACAAGGGTATTGCGTCAAACTGCTTTAACTTCTGGTGCATGCCTCGCTGGCCAGCAGACGAAAAGGGAGAGTGGTGACAGACGAGCGACGCTCGCACATTACGCAGCCTCGCGCTTTTGCCCAGGCTCGTTTCACTTTGTCGTGGTCAACATGGCCGCGCGGTTGTACTATAGGCACTACTCAAAACAGAGCGCAGAAACAGTCCAGACCATGCGGACGGCGATCAATCAAAAGGGGTTACAGAGTCACAGGTTCTCCCAAAGTGTTCCCTTTCTGTGTGTGTGTGTGTGTGTGTGTGTTTGTCTTGTTTGGTTTGGTTTGGCTTGTTTTGTTTGTGTTTTTGTTTGTTTGTTTGTTTGTTTGTTGGTTTATGTGTTCTTTCCCTCAACGAACAAGGGCGGGCTTTCTTTGCGCAGGACTCCCTGAGCAGCTTCGGCGGGGAATGCGCGCAGCTGGAGGCCACGGCGGAGGACGAGGGGGCTCGGTTTCAGAACGGGTGTTGCAGAATATGAGTGTGGGGCAGCATTGTGCGCGCTCCTGTAAGGTAGTTTGGTCTAAGGGACTGGGCACACATCCCTACAGGGTCTTGGGTACTGGATATGGGTCAACATAAACCCACCAATCGGACCGCAGGTTTTTTAGTCTTTGGTTCCATTTATCAGGGCAACCCATCTTGGGGTGACCGCATTTTTTGGACCCACCAGCCAGATAGGAATCGGTCCAAAGCCCTGAAAAGGTTGGGTTCCTTTGGTTTTCCTTTGAACACCTACCAAAAGCTGGGTTTTCCATCATGAGGGCTCTCCCCCAAACTGTGTGCAACTTGTTTGAGGCAAGTGGTCGGAAAAGGAGCTTGGGGTATCCAAGTTTGCTTCAAAGAGGGAGCCAAGGAGCTATCAGGTGTGCTGCCAGGACAGTTTGGACACTACTCAGTTGGGGGGGTACTCCGTTTTGGGGTTCCAAGACAGTTTTTGAGATTGGAGGTCTGGTATGGGAGGCTCAAAGTGTAAAACCTGAGGGGCCCTGCACTTTAACAGACAAGCGGTCAGAGGGTAAACTTTGCCCGCTCGGAGGTATTTTGATACCATGATGCACCTCGTCTTACCCTTTTTCAACTTTTGCATTCGTGGTTTGTCAGGTTTTCCATCAGTTTCCGTTTCAACCAGCAACAAGTTGACGTTTTGCAGGGTGTCGAAGTCTGGCCCGTAGCGATCCTTGCGCATTTCCGCCATATCAGCTTCTCGCTGACACATGGGTGTCTCAAAACAGGAATCGGTCCCCTAAAATGGTTAGTGTCCTTTTGCTTATCCCATGTTATCGGGACTTTTTGATCAATCCCCATATCTTCCATTTGCTTAAGAAATATGTCATTTTCCCCTGTTGGTGTTACAGGGAAACAATTTCACAGTTGGACAGATATCCTCCTTGATTCCAGGGGGCGAATACGCAAATGGAGGATATCCATATCCATCTGCTGGGAATAGGAATCGGTTCCCTCAAATGGTTAGGGGTCCCTCGAAATTTTGTTGGTGTTCTTTGTCCTAACGCCAAGAGGGGGTCCCACCATTTTGAGACACATATCCATCGACGAATCAAGGAGATGCCCCGTCTCTTGGAGAGCATCTCGGTGTCCAACCAGCCGGACGGCTTCCGGCGCCTGCCCACGATCCAGGCGCGGGTAGGACCCGAGACGTTTGTCGGGACAGCTTTTTCCAAAAGCTTAGCTCAAGGATCTGGACATCGTCCCGTTTCAATTTCAATGCAGAACCCTCCAAGCTTGTAAATAGTGCAAGCATGTTGGTATTCTGCCAGCACCCAATACAAGTACGTCCAACTGTGTCTGAGAATTCCACCAGAGCGGGCCCCCGAAATCGGTTGGTTTCCTTCAGGACCCATCCGAAAGGAGACCAATCTTTCCGCCGCCATGGGCACCGCGATGGGGGGGTGCGCTCCTCTTGCTTTGCCTTGACCTCCAAACCCAAATGGGGGGGGGGGGTCAAGAATGTTCATCCCCATGCCCATGAGAATGGTGTCCCCTCCAATTGCCCATTCATGGAATTCCACATGGTTTTGTCCTTTGAGGTTCCCGCGCAGTCAGAGTCTACTGAGTCAGGCGTGCCTGTATTTCCTTTTTGGTGGTTTTAAGTATCACCTGTTTGGCACATCTAAGCGGAGTTTCCCTTGGCAGGAGTGATAGTTCGAGGGGAACTCTGGCCAACACGTTTAGTAAGGAACCACCTCAAAAGAGGTTGGTGTCAATGCCGAAATGTTTTTCCACCAGGCCTGCCAGGCCCATTGATTTTCGCACCTATGTATGCCGCTGTTTTGGGGTCCCCCCCAAACACATATGGTGGCTGTCCTTTTAAGTTCTCCCTAGCCACCCCCCACACAAAACAACAAAAAAAGGTGGGCTCCAAACAAATCACTCCAAGCGAGCCCTGAGTCTGACTTCAGGTGCCGCTGCCCTACTTCGAGCAGCTGGCCGAACAGCTGGAGACCCGCGCCGAGCAGGCCGAAGAGCCCAGGTCGTTGGCTCGCCGCGATGTTTGCCGAGGGGTCGACCCAGGAAGCAACATGTTGGGTTGCCGGGGGGGGGTTGCCCGGACCGAATGACGGGCACTCTTGGAGGTGAGTTGGGAATTGCTTGCAAATCCTATGCGAATAGCAGTGAATCGTGGCTTTGGTGGGATCACAGGAAAGTCTGCAAATGTCCAACTTTGCGTATTCGAATACGCGATGCTGGCAGGCGCAGCATTCTCATTTGCTCGAAGCAGGCTCCAGGACTGTGGCTTGACTCTCCGAGTGAGAGACCTTCAGAATGCCTGCCTTGTATATGCGAAGCAGACAAGTCATGAGCAGCGCTGATAACTTGCTGGCAGAACTTCCGTTCCAGCTCAGTACTGAGAGCGCAGCGGGGAGACAAAGACCAGCATTCGGGAAGGTAGCTCCTTCAAACGCAAGAAGACCCCAGACACCAGGTGTATAAAAACCACCTGCAACAGAGTGGCAGCGTGTCGATAAGCAACTGGGGCCGCGCAGTCGCGTAGAGCGCGCAGATAGCGGAGAAGTCACAGTGTGGGGCTGGGGGGTCGGGATCGAATAGTTTGAAACACAGGTTGGCCTCGACGTGCTGGAAACATGGACCCGTGTTCTTTCCATCCCCCCCCCCCCCCGTTCCCCCCCCGCTCGACAGCCGCGAACACGCTGAGGACCGGCATGCGCAGCGCAGCATGAAAGTCCGGGCAAACCCCCCCGTCAACCCAACATGTTGGTAGGGGCAAAAATCACCCGCCTTTTTTTCTTCTGCGCGTTTCTTTGTCTCCGTGTTTCATTTTCTTTTTCTGGTGTGTGTGTGTGTTTGTGTATCCAAGTTTGCTTAAGAGGGAGACAAGGAGCTACCGAGCAAGAAAATGGTAGACAGGTAATTGCCTTTTTAGGTTGGTTCGCAGGGGAAGCAGGAGTAAAGGCACCAAGATCTGAGAGTCCCGGGCTCTGGGCTCTGATGGCTGATGTCCTTTTGGGCTCCCTTCAAACCCCACAAGGGTTCCTACACCCCCAAATTGGTGGGTCGTTTCCCCTTGTCTAAACAAGATTGCCCGCGATTTTTTCCAACATAGGGGAACCTGGATTGGGGTCAAAAGGGAAACCCTGGGGCTCAAACCAAAAAACAACGGGGGTCAAAAAACCACCTATAACCGCCATAATTTATCTCAGGAGTTTCATGCAAATTGGGCCCTTGTCATTCTTTTATCTGAGGGCCAGGAGGCCTCAAAGGTTTCAACCCTAAGCCGGCTGGTTGCTGTTGACGCCCCTGCGAAAAATTTGACTTTTTGTGGGTTTAGTGGGAAACCCCTTGATTTCCCCAAAAGTTGAAGTCTAAGGATCCAACCCAACAAGAGTCACGGTTTTGCGCCCGGCCGGGCGCCGCCGGGCGCCGCCGGGCGCTCGAAGCCGCGAAGCCGCCCAAGGTCTACGAGCGCGTCGGCGCTGTGGAGAAGGCGCTGGCGAGCTACAACCGCCAGGCGCGGCGGTGGGAATCCGTGGCGGGAGACGGGGGTGGGGATCATTCATGGCAAGTGTGTGCGGGTGGAGAGAAGAAGAACCAAAAAAAGAAGAAGAAGAACAATAATAATAATAACAAGACGAAGCAGAGAAAGAAGAGGAGAGAGAGAGAGAGAGCGGTGAGATTGATGGGACACAGTGTGTCAGAACTGTGTAAGGTTTGTCAGACATGTAAGGTATTTCAGGGGCCCCCTTTTGGTGGGAAGCAAGGACTTGCCATGATGGAATCGTTACCCGGAAGTTGTTGATATTCAGTACAAGTTCCGCGCTGGAAACCTCTAGATTCAAGATGCATGGGTACTGGACAATTCGAAAACAAAAACACAAAACAACGGCCCGTGATCAGTGCTTGCACAAAAACAGTCGAACCACGCTTGCATTGCTGCGGTATCGAAACACTAACATTGCCCAGAAACATGAGAGAACATGAAAGGGATTCTAACTTGAAGCTTTCCCAAGTACACTTCGGGCGCATCTGCCAGGTGTCTGGGGTACCTGTGTCTGCGCAGATAGAGGCAGGATCTAAGATGGGTCGCAAGTGCTTTGGCTGGAAGAGTGACAGCCAGAAGGGGCATGTCTCGAAATCACCGAGTCACCCCAAGGGTTTGGTGCTTCACAGTTTGGTATCCTTCCACTTACTCGTACCTACAAATTGGTTTTAAGTTTCCTGTTTTGAGACAATCCCACATCGAGTTTCCTATGTTCGTCTAACCCCTAAAGGATGAGTCTTGCCTTTGGCCCAGACTCGGGGCACCATTTCGGCCCGTTTTCTTGAGTTTTCTTGAGCATCAACCACATGCCCACACTTCCCGGCAAACAAGGGGCGGTCTGAAACACGGGGCGAAAGTCTCTTTTAGCTCCGCAAGGCCGGCTGGCATCACCTGATCCTTTTCTTGGCTCCATGGTGAGCTGCTAAAAAAAAAGTGGTAAGGGAGGGGCCAAATGAAACCAAAAAAAACGTGAAGAACACGTGAAGGAGACAATCCCTTGAAAGGGACAATTGGGCTTCCTGCAGGCCTGCGTCAGATTTTGATGCTGTGCCCGCGACACGAGCCGAAAAATTGGATCGGAGAAGTTCCCGCAGCTCGCCACTCGCGAGAAAGTCGGCCAGCCCCAGCCCACACGCAAAAAAGGGCGGAGTTCGGAGTTCTGAAACAATGTTTGTGATAGAAAGGGCAACTGCGCCGCCACGGTAGTTGTCGTCTCCTCCAAACAAATCTTATATTTTAGGTCAGAGTCTTGTGCTGCTGGTCAGGATCGGAACTCACATGGGAACTTAGGCCAGAAGGTTGGGCCAAGTGAATCACTGTCCAGCATCCGAGGCCAAGATTCGTTCCTCAACCTCCAAAAACAGATTCTCTACGGAATGCACGAGATCTATGTCTGCCAATTTTTAGAAAGTCCAACGATCGGACATCCCATTTCTGAGTGCGGCAAAAGCTGTTGGCGTGTTCGGCCCTTGCGGGATTTCTGGTGCAAAAGAAGCTGAGAGATCCGATTTCGCAATCTTGGGGGGGTTGGACAATCACTGTGTGGACAGTTTCCATGGAGTTTCCCATCATCAACGAGAACAGTGCTACAAAAGTGCCAAAAGAGGTCGGAACTTAAACTTCCCCTGTACCATAGCTCATTTCCACCTGAAGACGGGTCACCGCCCAAAAAGGACCCATCCCCCCCCCGCCGCCCCCCCACCCGTTCTGACGGCTCCTGCCCGAAAAAGGGTATGGGTCAAAATTAAACGGGCCGCAGGTTTTAGTCCTTGGTTGCATTTGGGCAAGCCATTTTGGGCACCTTGTGACCCACCAACGGGTCACCCCCCAAAAAGGGCCCACCCCCCCCTTTTGACGGCTCCTACCCGAAAAAGGGCGCCAGCCGCCCTTGCGCCGCTTCCGATGCGCGAACTCGACCGACGGAAGAGGCGGTGGTCCGCAGCGAGTTCCTGCAGTTCAAGGCCATCGCCGCAGAGCTGGCGCAGGCGGAAGCGAGAGGGTCGGAACCCGAAATCTTCCGTTTTTTGTTTTTTTTGTTTTTTTTGTTTCCCCCGGTTAAACATGATATATATATATATATAGACTATATAGATATATATATATAGTATCATGATTATTGTTTTATGATTCTTATTGTTTCGTATTTGTTATGTACTTTTCCCAGTTGGGTGTAACAGGAATCTATTGGTACTGTGTTTTTCCTCACTTTATCCAGGGGACTGAGGCAAAGTGAAGCAATGGGTGGAGTTGGAGCCATTCAAACCTTTGTCAAGGGATCTTTACGAATCATGGTGTTTCTTGGCTTCCCATGAAACTACCATGAAAACTCACAAATGGTTAGTGGATGTGAACATGCCCATGTGAAATCACGCCCATTGCACCCAATTATTCGGGATCGGATTGCATTGCATGTCAAGTGGCTGTTGCTCAACATCTCGTACCAGAATGGAGCCAAAGACAAGCACCTGCGCAAAGCTAGCTGGCTCAGGCTGGCTCCTTGATTGTGAGCCATACCCAAATGTGCACCGAATTCAATCTTATCAATTGGAGCACAATCTGAGGTAGTTGTATTGGATCATATTGATACTTTTACTGGCGACCACAGGTGAAAATTCAGAAGCGCCAAGTCCAAATCATGGCTCATCAAAGTCAGACATTGGGGTGATTTTCTTAAAACCTGCTAAATCTACCAAACCTACCAGACCTACCTCTGATCAGCTGTCGGGAACTGACGGTCAGACGGTCAAATCATGAGGCAGCCGGAAGACCCCGTTTGTGTTAGGAGTGCTCTTGTATACAACAAGCTGGGGGGGGTAAAACGAGCGATCTGATCCCGCTGCGTGTCCGTTTCACCGGCAGCAGGAGAACCCAAAGCCACCAGCTCCCCCAAACACACCTCCAGGTTTGGTCCATCTTTGTCTTCCTTGAGGTGTGCTTGGGGGGGGTGATTCTCCAGTTTTGGTCCATGTTTGTCTTCCTCGAGGTGGGCTAGAGGCCCACCCCCCTACCTCATTGGCTCGCTTTGCCGGGAGTTGGCGGGCGATGGGGCCACCTGTCGAGCGAGCGACAGGCGGCCGAGCGCATCGAGCAGCTGCGGGACAGCGCAGTGCGTACCCGAGGTCAGAGGCCTCAGAGGTTCAGAGCTGGCTCAGGTGTGTCCGAAATGGGCGGGTTTCCTCGGGTGTCCTTGTCTTTTTGTTCGGGGTTTGTTCCTTATGGTGTCCCTTTGATGTGGAATCGTGTTTAAATTGGGAGGGCTGAGAACAGTCAAAACAGTGCAGTATTGTTTTATTGTTGCCAATGCTTATCTTAAAATTGCTAGCACTTCCTGTTGGATTGCCAGTACTTGTGTTGCCTAGTCTACATTTAGTATTTCCAGGACTTACTCTCAGATTCCCAGTACTCAGTTTAGTATTGCCTAGTGCCAAGACTCTCTCTCAAATTCCCTGTACTTACTTTTGTACTGCCTAGTCTAAATTGACTGTTTGGGCTGTTTCATTTTTCTAAAACACAAAACACACAACAAAGAAGTTATGTAGATTTGATGGTTTTGGGACAACTGGCAAAGTTGAGGTTCCTAGATCCAGCGCCTTTAGCCTTTGAGCTGCGAGGAGCTAGGTTAGATGAACGAACCTTTAAACACAACCCCAGAACAGTCATATTAAACAGAGTCCTTTGTGTGACTTTGTCATTTCCAAATTTGATGGTTTGGGGACCGCTCACAAATTGTTTTCCTAGATCTAAGGACTTAAGCCTCTGAGCTGGGAAGGACGTGAGCAAAAGGCTAAGGCTTTGATACGGCAGTTGGTTCGTTTCTGCCGAGATTTAGCTTTTGCTGGGCCAGGAAGCTGAGAGGATCAGTTGCCCACATTGTGCATGTTGCTCACTTTTTTTTTGGGGGGGGGGGGGTTGTTTTTTTGCATGTTGCTCACATGTGTGTTTTGTTTTTTTTTGGGGGGGGTTCAACTTGACATAAAATGTGGCCCCCAGTGTTTGGGGGGGAAGGGTGTGTTTGCAGAAGCTTGACACAATTCAGGGACCGCTATGAAACAGGTGCCGCAGTAGAACCCAACCAGAAAGGTGGCCTCGAAAAAGGACACCCATGTGATGTGAAAACCAGGATTGGTTGTAATAGGTGTTTAACCACCGGAAGCCGGAAGGAGATTGTTCAATACAATGATTGTTTAAGCATGTTTTAACAAGGGGCTGGCTCAAGTCTGGTCAAGCCCCCTTGTCCATCGAAGACATCCTCCGAAACACGAGGGATTCCGAACATGCTGCCCTACAGATTGTTTGGGTTGGGACAATCTCTAAGCCGGTACTGCTAGAGGGGTCTCACCTGATTTTCTTTCTGCTTTTTTTGTGGGGAGGGGCGTCCATGTTTTGGACGGGCGAACCGAACGACTTTTGGCAAGTTGGTGGGAGCAATGGAGATGTCTTCATGTTGATTTGTCCGGATCTATAGTTTGTGTTCACAAAAGGGGAGGGGGGTTGAGGCGTCTCCTGGAAACATGGGGTTGACGACCGTATTTTGACGACATAGCCACTAGGTTTCCGCTCCAACAGTTCTCGCCATCTCAGGCGTGCCGGTGGGTATGCGGCGGCCCTGGTCGACCCAACAGGTCTCGGTCAGGAGTTCTGAAGTGCTGCTTTTGATTCCATGCATACAAATCAGAAGGAGCTCTGGAAGGAACAAAACGTACCTTTGGAGGTTGCCAACTTGCGGAAAAACGCATCTCACCAATGCTCAGGGAAACGTTTGAGGGGTTATGGAAATGAACTCGCAATTCACTGAAAGAAAATGGCAAGGCATGCTTGAAGGGGCATCGCTGAGAACCAAGTCATGTTCAGTCTGTGAATCGTCGCAGATCTGTTGGCCAACTTTCACGTTCCAAGCTTCAGAAAGGTTCCGACCAAGTGACAAGCTGCGAATTTTGGTTTGCTTGCAAGTCAGAGACTCAGATTTGTTTTCCCCGTGGTCTCTCTTGCATCAAAATGGTTTGGGAATGCTTTTCAACCGGAAATGTTCTGGCCTTTTGAAGGCCTAAGGCGGGAGCCTTTCATCCTCGGGAGCCGGGCGCGCGGAGTGGCGCAACACTCATGAGGACCTGGGGGGCTAGTTTCCCCAACCTGTGTTGTTGGCCGCGTTTTGAATTTTCCCCTTCGGAATTAATTGTCAACGCTTCGCGCTGCCCACTTCGGCCGATATCAGCCGGATTCTTTGTGTGTCTTGTTTGCCTTGAAGTGCGGTTGTGTCTGAGTCGGTGTCGAAATGCGCGAGCTGGTTTCCGGTGGGCGCACAGTTCACGCGTTTCTACATCTTTCTGACACTCTGCGCAGGTTGCCCTGCGCAGGTTGCCCTGCGCAGGTTGCCCTGCGCAGGTTGCTCTGCGCAAGTTGCTCTGCGCAAGTTCCTCTGTAATTAAGTTGCCTGCGCAAGCTGCTCTGCACAAGTTCCTTTGTGCAAGTTGCCTGTGCAAGTTGCTCTGTGCAAGCTGCCCTGCGCAAGTTCCTTTGCTTCGGTTGCCTTGTGCAAGTTGCTCTTGCATTTGAGCAGCTCTGAAGGCAAAAACACCGCGATATCCGCGTAGCGCCCCAGTGCTTGTGCAAGCAACATCTCAATGCTCTAAAGGGCATGTCTTTCGTGCTTGTGCGTGAAACGTCCTGGTGGGGCGCGGGGGGGGGGGGCCTGCGCTGAACGATTCCACCAAAACACGAAGAAGCACTGTTTTCGGCCAATCGCTGTCTAGTTTTATGAGCCTTCAAATATAAAAGGGGAGAAGTGTTGAAACGAGAAGAACGAAGAATGATGCCGGAGCTACCAAGTTAAGTCTGGCGGCAGCGCAAAGTGGGTGTCAGGAACTTAAAACTCAAGCGGCCGTGGTCGGACGCAATGTCCGGCCGTGCGTGCGGGGTAGTTTGGGCTCCAGGGATTGAGGGCCTTGAATGCGTGACCTGCCGTGTGGCTTGGAGTGAGCTGAAGCCCCAAGGAGCTGAGGCGGGATAGGTAAGGGCTGGTGCGCCGCTGCGTGGCCTTGAGGGCCGGAACTACAGCCGCACTGCAAGGGCAAGGGTTTGCGCAGCCAAGCTGTGGAAACTAATGCAACAAATGCAACGTGCAAGCACTTGGTCAACCTATCATGGGCCCACGGTATCGCAGATTTCCGGTGCTACTGACAGACGTTGCTTCCTTCCTGTAGTTGGGCTTATCCCGCGCCCTACTTCAAATACCCAAGGCTTGTTGGAAGGAGCATCATATCTTTTTTGGTGCTAGAAGGAGGTAGTTACCATGGAGGCAGTTACCATGGAGGCAGTTACCATGGAAAGCCGGTTTTTTGTTCAAGATCTGTCCATGGAAAGCCAGGGTTTTTCAATATCTGCCTGACACAACGGGTGGTGTTTTTTCTTCTTTTTTTGTTTTTTGTTTTTCGTGTATGCCGGCTCGGAGGTTGGCGCGGCCCAACGAGGAGTTTGAGAGCCAGCGGATGGCCGGGGACGCCGGATGGGCCGCACGCAGGGAGTGAGCTGAGCCCACAGGAACGTGTTTTGCTCTTCATTGTTTTTTCCGGTGTTTGTCTTTGGTGTTTGTTGGGGTGTTGGTGGTGTGGGTAGTTTGGGATTTGAACCCCGTTCCTTTGCAAACCAAATGGGGGAGGTAACCTGTAACGTCCAAACCACCAAACCGCCAACAGGATAAGGTTTTGGGGACGGTTGGTGGGGCATGGTGTTTTTTGGGGGTACCCTTTCTCCATCATGGAAGTTCCGTTTTCAACAATCTTGTGTAGTTTTCGCACACCCTTGGTCAGCTTTCATGATTGGGGAGGGGGTTTCACAGGAAACCACAAGGACAACTCACTCTTGGGGATTCCCGCTGTTGTGACACATCCTCCTGTACTGTGTATGCTATGGAAAGTATACCAAGCCAAGTTTGAATGGGCACGTGTTTCTTTTCTTGTTGTGTTTGCGAGTTGTCGATGTATCATGTTTGCCATGGTCAAAGGACCATTTCAACTTGGTAGTCATGGCCACCAACCCCTTAACCGGGAGTTTAGGCGGAAATGGTGAGGGCTCATATCCAATGGCCCACAAGGAAGTTGTGGCTACGGCACGTATGTATGGAACCACCGGTTGACCAGCTCAACATCTTAGATTTACTTGCAGTGAACACGTGTGTGTTCCAAATTGCCCATGTTATGCAACACACTTATGCATGACATGTTTTACCGCAAAAATGTGGCAATGTTGGACCTAGATGCGAATGTATGCATGAGTCTGCGGAAGAACCCAGAGGCAGGACCATCAGCTAGTTCACTTTGAGCGCGGCCACAAGTGCTTCCCTATGCAACACAACCCTCAAAAAAGACCAAACTCCGGATCCCATATGTTTGAAGAACCAGTCCTGCCCCACACCCACATGGCTTTTCACGAACTTGGGTCAGTGCTCACGTGTGGTCTATGCGGCCCTGAGTGCGTTCATTGCCAGGCTTAACTAGCCTTTGTCCAACTAGTTCCCTTGTAGCTAGCAAAAGTGTTGGTTTTCTGCAGGGAGTCTAAGTTTAGCCCTACCTTTGGATTGATTTTTGGATGTTTGAGCCATCAATTCAAACATCAACCAAGAGGGACATTAACTTGGGCAGATTGGAGACGCACGCAACCATGGGGGTAAGACACACGCGAACAATTCCCAGGCGGCGCTGCGCAGCTTGGGGGCTGCCGGGCACCGAATTTTTGGCTTAGCGAGGCCATGGCATTTCTTATTTGTTGGGGATCCTTTTTCTTCTGGCTGGATTGGGGTCACAAAAAGGTTTTGGTGGTGCATGTTGTTGTTTTCGAGGAGCCTCCTTTTTGGCTGGCCTGACAGGGGACACGAGAGGAAGACCAAAATCGATTTGTAAGGCAATCCCACTTTTGACATACATAAATATATATATATATAATATATATATATATACACCCACATCCACCCTTCTACCTACTTGCAACATGTGCCTACTTGCAACATGGAACCTAAGTAAAGGAGGATCCTGGAAGACCAGTTCCTTTTTCAAGACGCCGCGCCTTTGCCGCGCAATCTTGGCCCGTCCTTTTGGAGGGATTGCACGTCCAACTTTGGTCGTGGGCCCCAGCTTGAAGGCTTCCCCATCTGATACAGGAAAGGGGGCGCCTGGAAGATTCGATCTGGGTGAATTATAACGACCTCACAACCTCACCCCAAACGGTGGTTTATGTCTGGAATAGGCCCCCAACCACCTTATTTCAGGTTGGTGAAGTGTTCTAATTCACCCAGATTCGATGAAGGGACGGCCTCTGCACTCCAGAATGTCGAACCAGTGTTCTGCACTGGAGGCCAACACGCTTCTGGGACCTCTCGCAGTCAGCACGCCCGCCCGGCGCGCCTTAGCCGGATTGCTTCTTAGAAGGAGCGGAGGCAAGGTGGCGATGCAAATGTGCCTAGGCTAGGGTCCCCTGGTGAGAGGGGTAGAATTTCTTGTTGTTTCTGTAAAATGGTCCCAAAAGCGGGCGAGAAGATTACTTGAGAACATTGCCCTCCAGGTGTGGCCAAGCTGTGCTTCTGTGTCAGCAGGTTGTTTCACTGAAAGTGCGACTAGATAGATGCAACTGGGCTTATTGGTTTGCCAGTTATGTGCAACATTGAGAAAGCCAGAGGGCTGCTTCCCCACCTAGCAGCAATCAGGCACCAGCTGCCGGAGAAAAAAACATAAAAAAGGGAAACACACGAAAACATCATGGCCTCTGTGCAGAGGCTGTTCCTCACCAGAACGAACATTCATTCTTGGCTGCGGCAAAAAGTCTTGCCAGGATCAATCCTGGCCTATACGGCGGAAGCTTGGCAAGGATGGCGCTTGGTGTTCTCACTCCAAGGGATCAGCCCTTTTTTGGCCGTCGCTTAAAGCGCTTGCTTTGGCACCATCGGTGTAGCGTTTCTCGTTGGGTAAACTCTACCTCGAGGGTTTCAACCTAGGTGCCGCTGGTTTCAGCCGAATTGTTGCTATGCGTGCCTGCGTGCCTGTGTGCCGAAAGGGCCCAAAGGCGACATCAATAGTGTGAGGTGGGAGGTGTCGAAGTGAGGAGTCAATATTTACTGTTATCTATGGTAGGAAAGGGAATGACATGCGGTAGACTCACCAGAATACCATTAGGAAATGGGCATTACTCACCAATCTTCCAAGTCAGTTGGGGACACGATAAATATTCATCGTAGCTCAAGCACACGTGTGTATACGCAAATTAATACTTTAGAGCCTCCGGCTCAGTCCGCCGACATTGCACCCTCCGCTTCCCGTCCCCTGCATGTCCTTGCAGTTGCCTGCACTTCACCATTCGATTTCCCCCGCCATGTTGTTGCCTTTATTGTCCCTGCATTTCCCTCGCATTTCCATTGCATTTCCTTTGAATTTCCCTTTTATTTCTGTCGTTACGTCAATTACGTGGGGTTTGGAGGGGGGGTTGGCCCCATGTACCGCGCGGCAATCTGATGACGTTCCACTGAAAAACACTAGAAGGCTAAAAAGCTAAGGAACCGGATGGCTGGGAGCCACCAAGAAGAGTGAGGTCGATGGCTTTAACTCAAAAACCGCTCATCGGGTTCCAGAAACGGGACACGGACACCTGCGGTCCATATTTGTGCTTCCAATTTTGAGGACTAAACCTGGTGGCCGCGTGGCTTCACCCCGGGAAAAAATAGAACAAGAAAAACATCAATTTAACAAAAAGTTCGGTTGGCAGAAGGGTGGGTACCCCCCGTTTTTACTTGCCCAACAAAGCACCCCAAATTCAGATCCCATTCTTTCGCCCGGGCCAACGACCGATCGGGCCTTCTTCTGGGAGCTGGTGTGGGAAAACACGGGTTTTAGGCTCGAATCCCCTGCCAGCTCTCTTCCAGCTCGGGCCTTCCGCCTCCTCGCCAAAACCAGTGAAAACACAGTGCAATTCACGGACACAAAGGGAGATGTAGGAGGAAAATGACTGGAAATGAAGGGGAAATGCAAGAAAAATGCCGGGGAAAAAATAAAATAAAAACAAGAATGACAGGAGAATCCATCGAAGCGCCTCGGAAATGCAGGGACAACAAAGGGGACATGAAGGGCACATCAAACGCCTTTCAGCGCCGGGGAATCCAGGACATGCAAGGGCCAGGAAGCGGAGATGACGGGAAGATGCCTGGGAGTAGGGGGGGTTATCCTCTATCCGTCTTCGAAGACGATATCGGTGTTTGGTTAAGATACCTGCGCGAAAGAGTCACGATGGCGTTGCGAAGTAGCTTGCCGTGGCATTTTTTTCACGATTTTTTTTTGCGCCGCTGCATGCAGTAAATCAGTGACATACGAAAGCAGTTTGCTTACACCCCCGGTTTGCGCGGGGTTGGCCGGTTGGAACTTCGGAACGACACCACGGAGCATGCAAACTAAACTCCGCCTTGCTTTGGGTTCCGGTTTTCCCCTGTTTTTCTGGCTAGTGCTCTGCGTAAGTTCTTCTTCAGCAACTTCGGCGAAAGCCCGCAAGGAAGCACAGGGCCCAATTGCAGGGAGCAGGTTGTGTGTGAGGGTCGCGGATGGGCCAAGGCAGCGGGGGATATGGATAGCACTTGGCTGCCGCTCAAAAAGGCCGCCTCAGGAGTCATGTGCCGCATGTTCGTAATTCGTGCCGCATCTTGTACTTGCCTTTTCTGGATGAGGCGGTGTCCAGAAGCCGCGACTTGCCAGCCGAAGCCGTTTTGTGTGCCACTTTTGTCGCTGAACAAGTGCGACTTTCCACGCAGAGCTCCAAAAACGCATTTCGTGCACTTTCGTGCTGAAAAGATGCGACTTTCGAGCCGGAGCTGCGGAAGCGCACGAAAGATTGGCTTTCTGGTTCCAAGAATACACCACGCGCGGCGATGAATGCACGAACGTAGTTCTCCGCAACAGCTGAAAGCGATGTGGTCTCAGACCAGATGGCTCCGGGTGGTCCGCGGTGGCAGTGAGGCAAGGTTCCGCAGGGTTCCGCGAGGTTCTGCAAGAGTTGCGGGGACGGTTCTAAAGAATTTGAACGAGGGTTCCGGTTCCGAGGAGGGTTCTGCGGGGGTTCCGCGCAAAAAAACATCAGGTAAAGTTGCTCAAGCTTCAGCGAGGAAGGGGCGCCGGGATGGCGCGAGTTCTGCGAGGGTTCCACGAAGGTTCCGGGGAAGCATGTGTTGTCGGGAGTATCACCTGCGATTGTTTCGCAAAGAATGGCCGTTCCAGACAAGAATTTAGAGCAACCACCATATACATGAATGTACTGTGTGCCTCACCAACCCCTCACCCGAGGTCTTGGCATGCCGATGGGCGCTATGGCCATGGGCGCCATGGGCGCCATGGGTGCTATGGGTGCTATGGGTGCTGACCTGAGAAGGTGGTTGGTGCAAGCGCGTGGGCTAGGAAATCCGCGCAACTTTTGTGGGCAACGACAGCCACGGCTCCTCTCTGCGTTGAACTTGTTGAAGGGCTCATTAACTAAAACTTCAGAGGCGGCTGAGCAGTCATGCTAGCGCGATTGAGGTGCCATGCAGCCTGGTCTGCTGGGAGCCAACACCGGCGGCGGCTTGTTCGGTGCTAACCCCGCTGGCGGCATGTTTGGCGCCAACACTGCAGGAGGATTGTTTGGTGCCAATACTGGCGGGGGTTTGTTTGGTGCCAACACAGGCGGAGGATTGTTTGGCGCCAACACCGGAGGAGGCTTGTTTGGTGCCAACACAGGCGGCGGCATGTTCGGCGCCAACACTGGCGGAGGTTTGTTTGGCGCCAACACCGGCGGAGGATTGTTTGGCGCCAACACTGGCGGCGGCATGTTCGGTGCCAACACTGGAGGTGGCTTGTTTGGGGGAGCTAACACTGGCGGTGGCTTGTTCGGTGCCAACACTGGAGGAGGTTTGTTTGGCGGGGCCAACACAGGCGGCGGCATGTTCGGTGCCAACACTGGAGGTGGCTTGTTCGGTGCCAACACTGGAGGAGGTTTGTTTGGCGGGGCCAACACAGGCGGCGGCATGTTCGGTGCCAACACTGGAGGTGGCTTGTTTGGTGGAGCCAACACTGGCGGTGGCTTGTTCGGTGCCAACACTGGAGGAGGTCTGTTTGGCGGGGCAAACACGGGTGGCGGCATGTTCGGCGCCAACACTGGAGGGGGGTTGTTTGGCGGCGCTAACACGGGTGGCGGCATGTTCGGTGCCAACACTGGAGGAGGCTTGTTTGGCGGCGGGGCCAACACTGGCGGCGGCTTGTTTGGCGGCGGGGCCACCCCTGGTGGCGGATTGTTCGGTGCCAACACTGGCGGCGGCCTATTCTGACCACTGCGAGTCAAAAGAGGACCAGACGTTGGTGGTTGATAGTGTTTGTGTGTTTCTATATGCACGGCACCTAACACGGATTTCGGATGGCAGTGCGACTGTGCTGCATCGTGTTTGCGGTTGACCTCATGTCACGCCTTCGCGACAACCTTGCCCAGGTTCAGCAACCAGGCTCATTTATCAGAAAGGTTGGAAATGAACTGAGGCCAAACCACACAAAAACACAGTTCAACTCGTGCATCAGGAAGTAATTAGCACTTACTCGTATTGCCACTGTTGACTGAGTATCCCCAATCAATATTCTTAGCTGTCGTTGACACTTGGCAAAATTTGAACTTGGAAGACGTTCATCCCTCAAAACTCCAAGGATCTAAAAGTCAAGCCACCAAGTCTAGCGCCCTGACGTCCCGCTAGACATTTCGGTGGGGATTCATGTCAACCAACCACCTTTGAGGTTTTCATGGTGACAGGTCATACTCGTCGATCAAGCAGAAATCTATTGTGTCGTCTTGCATGATGTCGTTCTTGCTTTGAGATGCTGAGATGCAGGCGCCAGCCCCATCTCTTTCCCGCGTGCAAACGGAATTGTTCATGGCCGGCCTTCGTTTACGTGTGTTTTAGTCTCCTTAGTCTTAAAGGGACATGTTCATGGCTGGCATTTTGTTTCTTGTCGCCCACAGCAGCTGGAGACATTTGCCTTCCAATGCACACCGCGCCGCTGTCGACTGCGCTTCGGCTCGAGACGGCGCCCTTTCGCGTCCTGTCTGCGGGAGTGACGCCCTTAGTGCAGCGAGTGAGGGGCCACGAGCCACCAGGGTCGCGTTGTCCTTTTTAGGAAGATGAACAATTTTCTATGCATGGCCAAAGCTGTGGCACTGCCAGGGATTGCTTCACTTGTTTGCCCGACTGGTTTTACAAGCATTCCCCTTTGGAAACCATCGTTGTTAAAGAGTACTGCAACAAACAATCTGAATCATTTTCGCTACTTCAACTTGCCTTGAATAGTACACGGGAAATCATAGTATGCTCTTCTCTTGCAGGAAGCAGGGAGAGGCTGCTTCTTGCCTTAAGTGCTTCGTGGGCATTGGGAGCACAAACATGGGCGCACGGGGAGGGCACGTGCGCAAAAAGAGCCTTGAATGGGGGTTGCGACAGGACAGGCTAGCACCTCGAACCAGTAGCACCAGGGAACTCCGAAGCGGAGTAAGAATGAGTGTGGGCTGTCGAAGGGATCCGTGGCATCAACAACATGCCTTCACGAGGTTGTAAACCAATCCCTCCACGTTGCCGTGACATTGTTCTGCTCATGTGCAACAGTTGAGATGGTTTCAGCAAAAACATATTTCAAGTCAAAGCGGCTGTGAGACGCTACAGCTTGCTTGAAGGCCAAGTACCCCCCCAAAACAACTTCTCATTTCCCTAGATCCCTCCAGTGTCCTTTGAGTGCCAGCGACTCTATAGATTTCGCGAACCAGGTTTGAGGACCGAGCCTTCCGTAGTCTTTCAGTTCACGCATCAGTCTTGGTTAAGTAGTTCTTTGTAAAATGCTTACAGTGCTTGAAAACTGTTTAGTAGTATTGCTGTGGAATATCCATTTAGCTGCGATTACAGTTGATTTAATATTCAGAAGTATGACTTCGCATTGATGTTGTAGGTCTGATATTTGTGTAGCACTAGTTTGTTATCACTTACTATTAGTGTCACATTGGTTTTGTTGGTTGAGAATTGGTTTACATTTTGCTTGGTCCTAGTATTGCAGACTACTGAAAAGTCTGGGGCGAACCCGAACACTTTCCACCGAATGCGCTTTCCTGTTCCTTTTCGTGACAGGCTTCCAAAGTCCCCCCCTTGAGGGGGCACGAAAGGTTGTTCCACACAAGAAGGCAAGGGTAGCGCCTGGCCCGAGTGTTCTTGTTGCTCATCACAGGCTTACGTCACATTGTGCACCCGTACGAAGTGCACTAGACGCTCTGACGTTATGTTCTTAGCCTACGAATTAAACAACAGAATGGCACGCGCTGAAGAGGCCAAAGGCCAAAGCCCAAAGCCCAACGCATGTTTTGATTCTGGGTTCGATGTTCTCAAATAGGGAGCCTGCAAAGTTCCGCCCACGTTCCCCTAAAAAGCAGCTAGATAGAAAATATGCAAAGATCCCCCTGAAGATAGAATCAGTGCCGAGCTGACACGTTTGTTTCCTATCTGAAGCTTCAGTCCAGAATGCGGGGTTCCCTTTGTTCTGCCCTTTCAAGCATTGCAAAAAGGGTACCCAGGCTGCCAGTATTTCCCCTTTTGGTGGTTTTAAGCATCACCTTGTTTGGATACTCGGTGAGTTTGAGTTTCCTGGTGGGCTGATGTTTGAGAAGGAAAGATTCGCCCATCGCTCTCTTTAGAAACCACCCATTTTCCCGGGCATTTCTGGAAGAGAAGTTGTCTTGTGAACTCAGTATATGTGTGAGTATAATACACATAAGACACATATATACATATATATATATATATATACATATATATATAATATATGTATACACTACAAATATTGGTACCCTCACAGAGCCAGCGGCGCGCGTACACGCATACTATCATATGGGTGTGGGTCAAAATTAAGCCACCAGGAATCGGACCGCAGGTTTTAGTCATGGGTTCCATTTACCAGGGTGTCATTTTGGGTACCCATTTTTGACCCACAGAAACATACATATATATATATATATACACATGTATGTATATATTACAATGTTGAGGACCCTCAAACAAGCACACCACACACGCCAATGGCTTCAAGGCCGAAAGAAGTCGGCCCCTGCCATGTCTCAAGAGGGCAGCCCCACGCGCCCCGGCAGAAAGTGGAGACCCAACGGTGAATCGCTCGCGCTCCTAAGGGACTATTTGGAAAAGTTTGTTTTTGAGTGAAGGAACCTTGATTTCTGCTTCCTTTGGCTGTTTCGGCCATGCGCCTGCCACTGGCTGGAGGGGGCTTCCCGCGTGGTTCCTTGCTAGATGCTGGTGTTCCGGGTATGGCAGACTGAAGCAACTACGTAGGGCAGACATTGTGAAGTGTAGATTGTTGGTCAGAGATGCTTCTTCAAGGCTTTTGGAAGCGAGGCAACACTACGAGAGTTGCCCAACTCAGCTCATGTTTTGATGCATCGCCCCTGGGCACCCTTTCTGTTGAGCACTCTCGTCGGCGCAGGTCAACAGGGTGTGGGAGGCTTGATTCATACAAAGCAAATAGCCACATCAAGCGTAAGTGTGTTTTTTGACGCGGAGGCAACGGCCTTGAATGGGTTTGTGAGTTGCATTTCAACACTCGCGAAAGGTTCTAAACCTAGTTACAAGTCTACGAGTCTGCTTTCCTGCATGAGTGGATATATTGCTGAGACACAGGTAGGTGTTAGCAGGCTAGGCCTCTTCTGCCACATGAAGCTGTTTCAAGCGATCACAAAATGTGCCAACAACACCCCCTGGCCCCCGCTTGTCTCTCAAGAAGACAACGTGAGTCGCTCGCCTTTGTTGCTGCTCCCAGATATGTTGCAGACTCTCCCTTATAAAGCAATCTTCAAACATGCTTTTCCTGTTACTTATCTCTCACCTCAAGTCCATCCCATGCAGGTTGCGCATGCAGGTTTCATGGCTGGTCTTGACCAAATCGGCCCGACCTTTTGGAAAGCCAAACCTACAACAGATTCGACCTTTTTCTCGGCAAAGACCCAGAGTCGAGCCCACTGTTTTCTGCCCTATGTGGCTTGTTGCAACTTGATCACTGGGCCAGTCCTGGTAGGTTCAACATCGACGGCGTCAGCGGTTTGCTCAGAGAGGTTTGAGCACTTACTTGGGATACTAGGTCCCCTAGTAGTGCCCTTTTCCCCCTTTTTGGGGGAGGGTTCCCTACTAAAATAGACTACAGAAAAAAGAGTACCCTTATTCTAACCTCTCTACCGGAGGACATAGGGATAATTGTGGTGCATTGCTGCTTTGGCCGGCCGGGGAAGTATCGGGTGGGGTGAGCACGACGGCGTGGAGCAAACGGTCCCAAGGTCATAGAGGTGTTATTGATTGGTTAACCCATATAGCTTGCGTGCGTGTGCACGTGTCAAGACTTGTTGCAGAGATTACAGACCCTGTGAACACAAGTGTCTCATTTTGTCACCTTTGCTTGTGGGTTTCATGGATCACGAATGGTAGCCGGTTTGTTACCCGCACACTTAGATGATTCAAGAATAGCGCCATTCAGAAAGCTATATGGCTTCATTTCGTTTTCCACACTAAACAACAAGCAAACAAATCAACGTAAACAACAGATAATCACACATTGTCACATGGAGTATCATACAGTAATTACAGCAGAGCAAGAAACGCAACTATGTAAAGAATGCAATCAACACTCGACAGGTCACATAGATACATTGTGTCAAGGATCTTCTTGGGAGTGCCACCACTTGTTTGCTGTCATGGTGTCTTGCAGAGTTGAAGCAGGTTCCGTCAGTTGTGGCATGCGCCTGGATCGGAGGAGTTGCTATGGCTCGCAAGTCTTCGGAGTCGAAATATACGGGGTGGGGTGGGCATTGCCATGAGGAGCTTTTGATTGGAGGATCCGTTTTTTCCCCCCCCCCCTAGGCCGTTGTTTTTTTTTTTTTTTTCTTTTTTCTTTTTTTTTTTTCTAGGGCTAGGAAAAACAAACACCTCTACCCCTCCTTGAATGTGGGAGACCGTAAAAGCACGGTCTCTCACAGGGCCAACGCCAAATTTTAACCTCCCGTGTTTGCATCGCCTGGGTTGAGCCCGAGGCGACGTCTATTCAAGAAACGGTTCTCGCCCCGGAAGGATCAGCGCCGCATCATCCTTCGGAGATCTCTTTTCGGGGTCAACATGTTTCTGGGTGGCTCCCGGCCATCCCTTTGGTTCCTTAGCTTTTAGCTTGTTTGTTGGCTTGGTGGCTGGATTTTCACTTAAGCCACCAAAAGTTAAACTCTCAGCAGCGGGCAGCCCTGGGTTGATAGCAGTTCGGAGGTGAA